CTGCCCACGCTTTGGCCACCGGCAGACAGGAATCCAAACCTGCCTCTCCGCCTCTTCTCGTGGAGTACTCCGCTCCCGACGAACACTCCGGAGAGGATATTTCCACTCCCTCCCAAGACGCCGCTGATCTCACCGCCACCGAAACCTCCACTTACTCCTCCTCCTCCTCCTCCGACGCTTCCTGCATTGTATCCGCCGTCGATCGTGTCTCCACCTACTACTCCGCCTCCGCCTCCGCTCCCATCGAAGCTACTAATATCGCCTCCACTCTCTGGACCTCCTCCTCCACCTCCACTTCCTGGATTTCCTCCTACGAATCCACTCCCTCCCTCTCCACCTCCACCTCCAATATATCCACCATCTCCATGACTGCTTACTCCTACTCCACCTCCTGAAATTTCGTCAAAGCCTGTTATTCCCCCTCCACTGTCGCCTCCACTATGTCCACTCTCACTCCTCACTTCAGCGATTCCTCTTCCACCATCCACATGATCTCCAAATCCACCTGTTATTCCTCCACTTGAATGGCCCTCTCCAAATCCACTTTCTCTATCCGTGCCTGAGTGACTCTCAAATCCACTAACTTCTCCTCCACTTACGTGACCTCCTCCAAATTCACTTGTTCCCTCACTCCCTCCTCTGTATCCACCATAGTTTTTCCCTCCACTAAATCCACCTCCTTCACCTCTTCCGAATCCACTTCCTCTGCTCTCATCGAAACTGCTTTCTCCCCCTAACTTTCTCCCTCCACCTCCTCCACCAGCGGTATGTGCACTGTCACCTGTGCTTCCACTAAATCCAATTCCACCTGCAGAACCACCTCCCACGTTAATAACGCCGCCCACAGTGTATTCAACATTACTTCTGCCTTCAATGGATCCAACAACAATACCACTGCCTCCACCAAATCCACTTACATGCCCTCTTTTAAATCCACTATCAAAGGCTCCACTCGAGTGACCTCCTCCACCTACGGAACTTCCACCAAATTTCCCTCCGCCTACATCGCTTCCACCAAATCTTCCTCCATCAACACCACTTCCACTAATTCCACTTTCTATTCCTACTCCACTTTCTTCATATCCACTGTCGCTACCTCCACCAAATCCACTTCCTCTGCCTCTTTCACCACCTTCATGACTTCTTCCTCCACTTGCTCTTCCACCTTCATGACTTCTTCCTCCACTTGCTCTTCCACCTGCATGGCCTCCAATTCCACTTACTTCTCCACCCAAGTGCCCGTCTCTAAATCCACTTACTTCTGCTCCGCTGCTGCCGTATCCACCCTCTCCTCTACCTCTGTTATTTCTTCCACTTTCTCCACCGTCGCTGATTCCTCTGTTAAATCCACTTTCACCTTCTCCCCCTTTATGCTTTCCGAATCCCGTTTCTTTTGTACTTCTTCCACCTCCTCCACTGCCACTTCCACTGAATCCATGACCACTGATGCTTCCACTAAATCCACTTGTTTCTTCCTCTCCAAATCCAAATCTTTCTATTCCGCCTCGAACATCGCCCTCAAATCCACTTCTTCCATCGGAGTTTCGATTGTAATCACCGTCCCTGCTGCCTCCACCAACTCCACTTGCATCCCTGTCGTCTCCTACAAATCCACGTCCGCCTCCTCCACCTGCATGACCTTCAAATCCACTTCCATCTCTTCCACCTTTCTTGTTCCCTTCACCAAGTCCTCTTCCAAATTCGTGAAATTCGAATCCACTTTCTCCTCCTCTTCCACCAATGTCTCCACTGTATCCATTGTCACTGCTGCCTCCGCCAAAGTCGACTCTTCCACTTTCGCCAAATTCACTCTCCAATCCGTTACCTCCTATGAATCCACTCCTTCTTTCACTCTCAAATCCACCTTCTCCTGCGTGAAGTATGCTTATGATTCCACTTCCTCCACTTTCACCTCCACCTCCATTGTATCCATCCAAGTTTCCTCCACCGAATTCTCCGTTTCCTCGAAATTCTCTACTTTCTCCTCGTCCACCTCTGTGACCATCTCCAAATCCACTTACTCCACCTTCATGAACAGCTCTTCCACCTCCTCCAGTACCCCTTCCACTTAAGCTATATCCACCATCGATGTCGTCTCCACTCCTCAGTCTTCCATCCCTTCCTCCACCTTGTCTTCCACCATGAGAGTCGCGGTCAGCATCCACTTTGTGTGTAAAAAGTAGTGTGGTCGCCGCCAATATCTGAAAAAATAAATTGCACGAATAGATATTTTTGGGATGATTTTGTTTTTGCGATTATCCAAGACACTTATTTTTTTTCCTTTTTTTTTTAACTATTACAGCTACCATTTTTGCCATAATGATGTTTCTAATTATAATATCAATAGTGAAAGGAACAATAATGATGATAATAATGATAATGATGATAATAATAAGAGCAATAATAATGGTGATGATATTGATAATAATAGTGTACAATAATAATAATGATAATAGTTATAACAATAGTAATAATAATAATAATAATAATAATAATAATA